TTAACGATTATATATTCATAAATTTGACGCTGAAGACTGCATTTCTTGTTGAATAGTGGACTCCTCCCTGTAATTTCACACGGACCCTTTCAGAATCCTCTTGATTTTTCCTGAATTGAGATTTTTCTCCAGAGAGCCGTAGTTGAAGCGCGCGCAACCAACTGGGCCCACTCTGGGATGCGCCGTGTGCTTCACATCCCTTCATATTGAGGACTCATTTGAAAGATAAAATATCCGTCGAAAACGTGCGAATTTCGGATTCTTTGACCTTGTCGTGATAAATCACTAAGGTAGCTAAGAATTACTACGCGGACCCTTTGAACCACGAAAATTTTATGTGAGCGGAATAACATTGTTATTGGAATCCTTATAGCCAAGCTTGCATGGCGTGCATCGATCACTCCTTGATGTTTGTCCTCCAACACTGATGATCCTACTGCATCGATCGGCCCGACCCCTCCCTCCCTACGGGTCACATACTACCCCCCCCCCCTTTACACATGCAAGACATGCTCTCAAGAATTGAAGGAAGCAGCATAAGAACATGAAAATAAGTTATTTTTGAGGAACAAGAATTCAGAAACGACGGAAAAATAATCTACAGCACACTACGACTATAGGCAGGCAAGTACTACTACAGGTAAGAAGCCAAAAGTCTGGGAAGAAGAAACTAAAAAAAGCTTGGCTTGTCAGAAACGGTAGGAAATTCCTCACAACCTAACAAGTACTGAGATTCTGACTAGTTACTGTTTTGAAAATCAGTCCCTTTGTTCTTCTTTCGTGAGATTTCATTTTTCAGCGCTATTTTTTGAAATGAGAGTTTTCAAAATTCGGATGATCATAACTTTTTTCGAAACTGTGTTTTTTTTTGAAAGGCGGTGAATTTCAGGAAAGCATGGAAAGCAACACAACCAATGGGTTTGCCAATGAGCGTCGAAACAAACCTAAAAATTCACTGACTCCGAAATCATGTCTCCGTCAAGATTTTCCGATCATTCACAGTGCATTCTTCCAACATTATTACATCTCATTCCACACTAGCTTCGTGCAAAAATTTCATGATTCCTCCAAAACAATATTTGTTCGGGATGAATTGAATATCAAGCGCTGAGCACCAACAAACGCTGCTTCGAATGCGCCACGCTCTCCTCTGTGGTCAGAAGTCGGAAGTTACATGAAAATCATCACGAATTCGCTTACCATTAGCTATGACAATACCACTTTCGATGCACTGTTGACGCATGCACCTTTCATTTCGTAGCTTAAACGCCACCTCCTGCCCACTTACGTCGAACTTGGCACTATGGAGGCTGCTGACCCTGCTCACAGCACAGTGATATCCTGTCCGCGGAGTGTGGTACTTTGGCATGAATCATTAATCTCAGCGAACACAATCTTACTTATGCAAACGTGCTCGATTCGCACGTTCTGATGCTCTGTTGACGTGAGTGGACGAGTTGTTCGGCGGAGCCCACGCTTGCCGACCGCCTCTTGTGTTTTCGTTGCGGCCGTGCGGTGCGGTTGTCGGCTTTGGGACGTTTTTTTCAAATGTTGTGTTCTATATAGGGAGTAGTATTGTTCGCTACTCTCCTCTTTGCTCGGCTCATTTCATCGCCAGTCTGCAGCAGTGCCGCAGTGCTGATTTGCATGTTTCTTAACAAGGAATGCGGTTGATAATGTAACTTGTATGTTACGTATGGTTACGTATGTTACGTATGGTAGGGTTTCAGATCATGTCGCGACGTGCACCTCCACCGATTGAAGGACTTTATTCTCTGAAGGTGAGGTCTAATGGAGTTTTCAAATGTATCATGCTTTCACTAGTTCTGCCGTGTCAACAGTTGACCGAAAAAGATATTCAAAGGGATCGAGTCAGAGGTGACTATCAGCAAAACCACGACAAAAATTGGCCCAGTGTGACTCGGAGGGAGGTGGGGGACACCTAAAACTATGCCCCACCACCAGGGACGAAATTGACGAATACGAAACTTGCTCCCGCTCACCAGAGTTCTTCTCCTCTTCAAAAGAAAATCAATGCTCCTAAGAACACAAATTTTTCGCTTCCCGCAGCGCGGAATTTTGGCTGTGCGACCTCAGGTCCATCTCTGATAGTGGACCTGCTTCTCCCGTAGCAAAAAAAGTTAGCGCTGCGAAAAACGGAAACGTCGCTTTCTGTCCCAGCGAATTCACCCACCATACCTATTTTGTTTACGCAAATGAGAATGGCTTAATCGCTTTCTCATCCCCGCACAGTGTGTGCGTGAGAACGCTCGTAACTAGTATTCCCTACCCATCTTGAGCCGATGTCATAGTTTGCGAATCGAACGATTCGCTAGCGAATCGCTGGATCCGAGCGTTGCGCCAGCGAATCGAAATTCGGTGCTAACTTAGTTGGGGGGGGCACGCGGCGGCGCGGCAGTCTGCTCGCCTGGCATGTTCGGAAATCCGTGGGCCAGGGGGAGTGTAGGCAGTCTAGGGGGGGGGGGGCAGTCACTTGACATGCGTGAAAAGCTGGAATGTTCGAGTTTACACTGTCTCGCTCGAGAGAGCCCAGGTGAGCAGACTGCCGCGCCGCCGCGTGCCCCCCCAACTAAGTTAGCACCCGAACTTTCCAGCGAGTCGAACTTAGGTACCAGCGACTCAATAGTGGCGGGACCCAACGTTTAAAGGAAGCCCGCCACTTTTCAAACAGTGTCACGTGACAGTGGACGCTGTTTGAAAGTGGCGGGGATGTTACGTATATATCCCACCCTGCGCCGGTGCAATTGCGTACCGCAAGCGATTACAGTACGCCCACGCCTAGTTCTACTGGCGTTGACATTTGTAACTGATGATCACAGGCGGGGCTCGTGATGAAAGGAAATGGGAAGACTAATCAATTCATAACTAGCACAGCTCCGAATATTGTACTGAGTTGACTCATGCATTTCTCCTTTCAGATAGGTGACGGGTACCGAGAGATGTTTTACATATCGGAACACCATTGTGCGCGCCTGGAAACCACTCTAATTCCTCATGTCATTTACTTCTTAACATGCAAAATAGGGTAATGTGCTAGCGTATTTATAATGTTCCGCACTAGAACAATCATTGATGCCATTATGCATTGTACCAGTGCAGTGAGGGACTCGAGGGGACGAAGTTTACTTGGCACCTGAGGGAAGAGAGTTCTAATTCGTGAGATAGTTTTCATCATGAACTGCTTAGTAGTTGCGTCTCACGGCCACCTTGTTTTCGAGTTTGTTAGTTGATTTATTAGCACTTGTAGATATTTCCATAGACATAGAAATCTGATACGGAGGTATCCTTGTGAGGATGACTTGTGCTGAAAGTGAGAGCGCATACTTGTAGATGATAGGCACGGGATATGTTCATTCTCTTTCTGTAAAAGATGCCGTAAAATGTAATTCAGTTCCATTGGAGATAATCCGCTTACAGGAGCGTTTGCGTTACTGTTGCGAATCAATTTCTTGAGGCGCTAGTGTACTCAAAAGGGGCATGCCCACGCTGACTGAGCCTTGGAGAAGAGGGTGAACTTTGAGGGTAATGAAAACTGCTTACACATCCCCCTAGACTCAAGCCTAGTACTAGGGGGACCAGCAGGGGGTGGGGAGGAGCACGATGGCTTGGCGCTTTTATTCGCCAAACAGCTTCTGCGTTGGAAGATAATAGCAGTTTTACGTAAGCTGTGAGCAAAAGCTTAACTATTGCGCTATCAATGGGAAAACTGTTCTTCCACGATTCCAATCATTTTGCATCAAATGTTATGTTCAGTGTTCGCTTCCACTTTTGCTGGATAGGAGATAGGAATTTTTTGATCTGATGTCCACTACCACAAATATTCACTGCTGACGTCTCGAAGATATATGCAAAAAACTGCTAGACTAGATATAAGTCATCTAGTCTTATTATTTCCTCTCATCACAAGTTCTACCCGTAGTTATTCAATCGAAAACAGGGTGCCAACGATAGCGGAACTAGCCGTGAGAGTACTGTAATCGCCTGCTGTACGCAATCGCACGGGCGCAGGGTGGGATAAATACGTAACATCGTTGGCGGGCTTCCTTTAAACGTTGGGTCCCCACTATTGAGTCGCTGGTACATAGTTCGACTCGCTGGCGCAAAGTTCGATTCGCTGGCGCAACGCTCGGATCCAGCGATTCGCTAGCGAATCGCTCGATTCGCAAACTATGACATCGGCCTGAAAACACCCGATGATAATTCTGAGCTCTGGTACTAGGTGCAGTCATGGATGGCGCAAATTATGACCTAAATAAAGTAGCGTTCAGAATTACGCAAGACAGCGCTATAATGGACTAAAGCGTCTCCGTTTCGGAAGGATCTGGAAAGCGATTGTCGCGCTTTGTGTCATCGAAGTACATTTCAGGTTGACAACATCTCTTATAATACAACACAAGCTGATCTTCGAAGAATGTTCGACAAATATGGCGAGATTGGCGATATTCATATTCCCAGAGACAAATACACACGTCAAAGCAAGGGTTTCGGATTTGTGCGATTTTATAGGTATACGCTGAATTTTACTGCAGGCCTTGCTAGAGCTTTGAAGAATCAGTTGATGAATCATTTTGTTGGCTTGAAATAAGCTGCAATTATGAGACCTGATATGGTTTATAACCGGTAGTTTTTTTTAAGCCGCCGTGATGCAGAGTACGCAATGGATCGCACTGATGGACGCTGGGTCGAAGGGCGCGAAATTCGCGTTGCAATGGCGCGTTATGAGCGGCCAATCGACGAGAGAGGGGCTTACACAAGGCGTGGCAGGTAAGCTTACATTGCGAGCATCGCTTGTTGGGTTGGAGCAGAAAACTCGAAACATGGCGGCCACAAAAGCGTGCATGGCATCTATTTTCGACTTGACCCCTTTAACGCCAGTGGTACCTTTTGAATCATCGCGATTTAACATTTCGTCTCGGAACAGAAGAGCAGCTGAAAGCCGAATTGTGTATACCGTGAGAAAGTGCATAATTTTATTCGAAAACAATTCGTCGCACTTTTGGACCGTGTGCCTAAGATTAGTTATCGAAGCCATTCTATCGCAGGTCAGTGAAAGTGGCTCCAAAAAGTAACTTTCAAAAGTTTAGCATTTTGTCTCCAGATGTATCAGTGAGTATAATGCTTGTGTAAATGGTTATATCAAGTACAACATGAACAAGTGAGCAATGAGAGGTGGCACTTTGTCAGCTGAGAGCGCGTTACAATAGATCACATTCTGGCGACTCGAATTTAGTGTTTCTGAGTGCTCAAATGAAACAGGACTATAATAAGAAGAAGTGGCGGCATAGCATTTAGAGCTAAAAAAGGTCTACGGAAATTTAGCAAACAATGAAAAATAGTAACCTTCAGGCGTCCTTGTTGAATTCGCTGCACAATTTTCGAGCTTAAGTCAGAACCAAGTAATTTCTTCATGTGTGATCTTTCAAAAAAAAAAATGAAACACCTCGGTACTTTTTCCAACTATCAATAAAATCATTCTTTTTTGCATCCTGATTAGTGATGTGTGATAGGACTTGCCGTAGAAACGAAGGTAAATCCTCTAAAGTTTGGCGAATTGTTTTTCCTTGAGTAGAATGTGAAGTTTGCCTTCATATGTAATCGCATCTTCAATAGAACACCGCTGACACGTAGTTCTGTGAAATCGTGGTGGTACATATGTGCACCGCTGGCAATCAAAGGACCAAGTCGCAATATGCGATACCACTGCTAGTAAATATTATATGTTACAATAGTAGGTGAGTAGGATCCGTGAGCACTTAAAGAATTAGATTGTGCGCTGAATTTACCTGTTGGAAATGCGAACATAGCTCACGCTATAGCTAACTGAACAACAAAGCGTAGTCCAAAAAAACAACTCGCAATCATTGATAAAACGCAAACAATGACTCGATACAATAGAAATACATTCTGAAAAAGAACATAAACAAAGATCGGACGTCAAAATGGTTTCGAAACATGGAGCTCGCTTTTTCCTAGGCCGTCCATCCTCTTGGGCAGGCAGTCCCAGTGAGAGAAAGCCACTTCTAAAATGCCATTGTTTGCGGAATCCCAGCAGGGTCAACC